CACCCATCTGTCTGTCCATCCATTAATCTCTCCGTCCCTCCATCCATTCATCTGTCCATCCATCCCATCCTCCCTCCCTCCCACGGTCTGTCCATCCCTCCAGACCTGGCCCCGGACGTTCTCCCTCCCTCCCTGAATTTATCTGCACAGCGCTTCGCGGAGCCTGAAGCGCTACGATCCCGGGGCCACCTCCAGGCCCGCGCCCTCGCTGTCCTGTTTCCAGGGCAGCAGAGAGGAAGGGTCCAGGGACAAGCCCTTATCCCGCGAAGGCTGCGATAACGGTGCACTAGGCAGCGGGCCGGCCCTGGGCACCCGCTGGCTGAGGGACCCGGCCCGGCCTCCTGTTAGTGCCCAGGTGACTGGCCAGGGCTGTCGGTCAGAGGCCGAAGGATGCCCTCCCCCGGGAGTCCGGTGCCTGGGTCCCAGTTGGCTCGTGTCACGAACAGGGGGCGCTCTCGTTCCCGCTGCCTGCCTCAGTTTCCCCTCCCCGCGGGCCGGGCCTCACCTTGCTACCCGCGCACTTGTCCAGGAACTCGCGCAGCTCCCTCCGCACCGCCTCGCGCAGCACGTTCAAGTTCACCCGCCCGTAAGACAGGTGCGCCGCCATCTTGTCACTGCCCCAGCCCGGGCCGGTGGGCGCCGCCGCCCCCTCCCCGCGCCGGCGGCCCACCCCAGCAGAGACCGAGCAGTCAGGTGACCGCGCCTCCGCGCACGTGACTCGCGACAGGCGGAGCCGGAAGCGCCCGGGCCTCACTCGCCCGGCCGCCTCTGAGCATGCGCGCCAGGAGGGCGCAATCGGCTGCCGGCACCCCTTTCGTCTTCCGCTCCCGGCCTCTTGCGGAACTGGGAGCTGGAGGGAGAGTTACGTCCCCTGCTGATTTCTGCCTCTCCCCTTCCCCCGTCGCCTGAGGGTCCTGCCCTTGGGACTGTTCCCACTCCCACCCCCCAAGGAAGTACGAGGCGTCCAGCGCTTTGCGAGCCTGGAAAAGCTACTGGATCCACATGGCCCGATGTGACAAGTCTGGGAGGCGGGGGGGGGGGGGCCTCAGTTTACCCCCTCTGTAAAGTGGAGATGCCGATGGCGCCAGCCCCAGGGCGTGTGAGGCGCGGGGACGAGACCGTGGGCGTGAAGCCCTCTGCCAGCCTCCGATCCACCCGCGTGTTTGTCGTCCCGGGCGGAACGTGCCATGGGCCAAAGGAGGGAGGGGGCCACGGGGTCACCCGGCCTGTCCGCGGGCGTGGGAGGGCTTGTGCCCCAGAAACTAAGGAGATGGGGGCAGGGAATCGTCTTTCTTACCGAACCCAAGATGGGCGTTTACAACAACCCTGTGAAGGAGGTGCTATTGTTTCCCCATTTTCGAGGTGAGGACACTGAGGCAGACAGGTTAAGGGACTTGCCCAGGATCCCACAACTACGAAGTATCCAGGCCCGGATTTGAATTCAGGTTTATCCTGCCTCCAGCCGCTACTTTTTCGGCAGATGGAAATGATAGGTTCAGAGTGCAAAATAGGCAGAAGTTCTTTACAACCTTAAAGCATTTGCAGCTTGGTATCCCGTGAGAGGTGGAATGGTTCTGGCCCTGCCATTGTCACCTGTGGGACTTTGGAAAGAATTGCTTCCCGTAGGCTTCGGTTCCTCCCTCTGTAAAGCAAGCTGGGTGCGGATGGTGGAAATCTTCACATCCACCAGCCCACTAGATTGAGAAGAATTTTTTACAAGGAGATATTTACTTTAAACATAGCAGAATACAAAACATTTTCCCCGACAACCTGGGGGGAAATAATCTCCCAACTGGTTATCTGGGGTGGGGGTGGGGGAGTAAGTTCAGAACTTAGTGTCTACATAACTTTGGTCCCATTAATTTCATGTCTGGATGTGACATGATTGGAGGGGAGGGAATGGGATGGAGAAGAAGCTGTTCTGGGTCCTGGATTATGGGTACTAGGCTGGGTGCAGCTTCTGGTGGAGAACACAGGCTCTGGAGCACATACTGAATGCACCAGGTCATGAAACTCTGCTTCCTTCCGCTATGACAAACAGCCATGAGGCCTCCTAAGGCGCAGAAGGCCCGTCAGCTTTTTTTCTTTTACAGAATGGTCTCTTCCTGGTCTCGGTGAGGAATGGAGTCACGAAAGAGTAGTCCACTGGATTAGACTGAAGCTGGAGTGATTTTGTGGTATTGTCACATGATGCTGTCACTTTTTGTGACAAGCATTTCTTCATAAAGATAAAACTTTGAAAATCAAAAAAGGAGAATTGGAGATTACCCACAAGATTTGGTAGGATCTGGAAAACTACTTGTGTGACTCTGGGCATGTCATTACAGTTCTCTCAGGTCCTCTGTTTGAGTTGGATGAGTGACTTCTCAGCCCTTCTAGTCCTGAATCCTGTGATCTCATGAACACTGGCTTACTTTTTCAAATTTCCGTGTTAGATTTTGTCATTTTACTGTTAAAAAAAAAAACCCTGCAAAACCTAGTTTGAAACTTCCGTTAACAAAAGTGTTCAATACTAGAATCCACTTACTTAAGCAGTTCTCCAAGATAGATTTAGAGCTAGAAGGGAACTAAAAAATGAGGCCTTTCCCCACATTTTACAAATGGGGAAACAGGACCAGTGGTCAGACGACTTGCCCACATCCTCTAACACTGGATCCAGCATTAGTTCTTCTGTCTGAGGCACTAGATATAGTAGCCCAAATACTATGTGGAATGACCTACTGTCAAAGACTCAAATGGCAAGCTGAACCATTAAACAAAAATGGATGACCGGAGAGTTTTTCCAAATCAAAAGGATTTCTAACCAGTGATTTTATCATTTTTTTCAAATATAGAAATAACAGTACTTGTTCGAGGAGAACCACTAGGCTCTGGAAACAGGCCAATAACTGAGTAGAATTTAAGGCAAGAGGCCCTAGAATAAAAACAAATTAAGATACCCCAAAAATAAAACAAAAAATAAACACTAGTGTTATTGCAACATTTTCATTAAGTTGTAACAGTGTATTGGAAGGTTAAAAAAAAAGCTGAAGGTAGCAGTTCCCTGTATAACATGCTGCCATGCTCTGGGTGAGTATAGAATCAATGTAAATCAAAAATCTTACAGGCCAGCAGGGAGTAGCAGTTGTTTGTACTCCTAGCCCTGGGAATCGAGGCAGAATCCCAGAATTGGAGTGTGGGAAAGGACCTGAGCAGCCATCCAGTCCAACCCATACCCCGAAAGAGCCCCTACTCCAGTACCCAACAAGCAGCTGTCTGGCCTATGCTTAAGACCTCCAGAGGAGTAGAACTTATCACCTCCCAAAACAGTTCCATTCCACTTTTGGACAGCACTAATTGTTAGGACATTTTTCCCCCTGAAATCAAGCTTATTTGACTTCTGTAGCTTCCCATTGCTCTGGGTTCTGTCTTCTGGGACCAGTGGAAGAAATCTGATCCTTCCTGCACATGACAGCCTTTCAGAGGCTTGAAGATAATAATCATATTCCCTACACACACACCCCCCACCCGTTTCCACACCAAAGAACCCAGTTACTTCAATCCATCCTCAGATGACATGACACTCACAGCCCTTCTCCATTCCACTTACCCTCCTTTGGACCCTCTCTGGGTCATCGGTATCTTTCTGAAATTGTCATGTCCAGATCTAAAACTCACAACTCCACATATGAGATCTGACAAAGGCAGAGTTCAGTGGGCCTCCCACTTCACCATTCCTGGAGATGATGCCCCTCTTAATGCAGCCCAAGGTCACGTTAGCATGTTTGGTGACCACACCACACTACTGACTCACGGAGAGCTTGCACTCCACTAAACCTCCAAGTCTTTTTCAGCATAACTGCTGACCAGCCATGCCTCCTTCCCACCCACCCTCCATCTTGTGCCTGTGAATTTGACTTGTACTGAAGTTCAAGTCTTTACATTGATGCCTATTGAATTTTGTCTTATTAGATCTAGCCCAGAGATGGAGAACTTGTGGCCTCGAAGCCACATGTGGCCTTCTAGGTCCTTCAGTGTGGCTCTTTGATTAAATCCAAACTTCACAGAAATCCTTTTATTGAGGGGATTTGTTCTATGAAGTTTGGATTCAGTCAAAAGGCCACACTGCAGGACCTAGAGAGCCACATGTGGCCTCAAGGCTGCAGGTTCCTCACTCCTGCTCTAGAGCCTATCAAGATTCTTTTAGATCTTGTTATCCACTGTTAGCTATCCCTCCCAGATCGGTGTCATCTGCATGTCTGATGAACTTTATTCCTTTATCCAAGTCATTGATACAGATAATAACAATGGAACAAGCAGAGATTTCTGGAGTATTCTACCCCTAACTATTAAGTCTAGCCATCCATCCAGTTCTAAATTTATCTGACTGTATTACTGTCTCATCTCTATCTTTTTGTCTTCTCCCCAAGAATAGTATGAGAATGTTTATCAAAGGCTTTGCTAAAATCTAGGTCAACTATATCCATCATTCCCTTCTGTCTGGTTGTTGCAGTTTGTACTTCATTCTTGAGGAGGACCAATGACATCACGAGGGTAATGACTTGACTTGCTCATGAATCGGATTTAAGTGAGGAAGAGCTGTGCAAAGTCCTCAGCCTCACTCTCTCCTTCAGAGTCATCAGAGTCCAGTGGCAAGACAGCTAGCAAAGAAAGTGGTTGTTACGAAGAGCCAGCATTGCCTTTAGCAAGAGCAGGCCCTCTCAAACTAAACTATTTTCGGCAGGGCTTTTCAATTAGTCAATCAGGAGAATTTAATATAGTTTGCCTAGATTTTAGCAAAGCACTTGATGAAGTATCACATACTATCCTTACTATGCTTGTGGAAAAGATGGAGAGGTGTGGGCTAGAAGGTAGTCAGATGATTCAGCACGGGATGAATGAAAGAGATTTCTGGTGTCAGGCCCCAGGGATCTCTTGTGTTTGGCCCTGTGCTATTTTGATGAGTGATTTGGATAAAAGCATAGATAGCATTCTCATCAAACTTGCTGATGCCATATGTAGCTGGGATAAGTGGATGAGTCAGGAGCCAAAAGGATCTTGACAGTCTAACATCAGGACTAGATCAAAAAAAGATAAAAATTGGGAGGGATAAATGTAAAGTCTTCTCCCTAGGTTCAAAAAATCAACTCACAAGTGCAAGATGGAAGAGGCATGGCTAAAGAGCAGTTTGTGGTGCATTGTAATGTGAACAGTGAGCTTGCTTAGTAGCCCCCAAAAGGTATGATCCTGGACTATGTTGAGAGAGATATCCTTCAGGCAGGAATAAACAAGTTGTATTGTTTTCACTTCTGTACATGGATAAACTGGAGAGCAACCAGAGGACAACCAGTATCAACAGGTGCCTACCCTATGCTAGGCACTGAGGCAACAAATACAAAGAATGAAACTGTGGCTACTTTAAAGGGGTTTATGTTCTAATAGAGGATAACTATGGGTAACAAGTTAAAAAAGGGTTGTTTGGGAGGGCAGGCACTGGAAGTTGTGGAGATCCAGAAAGGCTGACCAAAGAACGGGCTTGAACTGTTTCTTAAAAGAAGAGGATTCCATGAGGAGGAGGTAAGGAGGGAGTGCTTTCCAGGTATGGGGAAAGGGCAGACATGATTCCATGAGATGAAAGCAATGAGCACATTTGGTCTGC